TTGTCACATACTTTACTGAATCTTTCCAAAGAAGTATGGGTTGAAAAATTACTTCTATTCAACTAAAAAGGCATCCATACTTACTAGAGTACCAAGAAAAAGATTGTATATAATCACTTCTTGTTTGTTTTTTTTTCTTTTTAGTGTGTTAGATTACTAATCATTAATCAATATGTAAAACAGAATCTTGATTTAGTGTTTCAATAAATCTCTGATTTAAATAATATTTGTGGGGTGCCTGGGTGGCTCAGTTGGTTAAGCGTCTGACTCTTAATCTCAGCTCAGGTCTTGATCTCAGGGTCATGAGTTCAAGCCCCACGTTCACTCCACCTTGGGCATGGAGACTACTTTAAATAAATTAATTAATAATAAATAAATAAATAAAATTAATTTGTGATTTTTCTTACTTTCCTGAGTAGATTTTTTGGTCACACAGAAACTTTTAATTTCCCATCTCAGATTGCTAAAATAGTATGGAAATATTAAGAAACATAATAATTTTTTAAAGTATAAATTTTTCCATTTTCGGGCGCCTGGGTGGCTCAGTCGTTAAGCGTCTGCCTTCGGCTCAGGTCATGGTCCCAGGGTCCTGGGATCGAGTCCCACATCGGGCTCCCTGCTCAGCGGGAAGCCTGCTTCTCCCTCTCCCCCTGCTTGTGTTCCTGCTCTCTCTATGTCTCTCTCTGTCAAATAAATAAATAAAAAATCTTTAAAAAAAATAAATAAATAAATAAATAAATAAATAAATAAATTTTTCCATTTTCATTATGACAAATGATTAAGCATCAACATTTCTAAAATTTCAGGCTTTGGTTGATAAGATACCTCAGTTTTTAGAAAATATTCCAGACTTTTGTTGATCAGCCACCTCAATTTTTATAAGTATGGTTACCAGATTTTCCAAACAAATTGGGAGCCCTATCTGAGACTAGGACAGAAGATTTGATTTCAAACATACAGAAAGGGCGCCTGGGTGGCTCAGTTGGTTAAGCGACTGCCTTCGGCTCAGGTCATGATCCTGGAGTCCCGGGATCGAGTCCCACATCAGGCTCCCTGCTCGGCAGGGAGTCTGCCTCTCCCTGACCCTCCCCCCTCTCATGTGCTCTCTCTCATTCTCTCTCACACAAATAAATAAATAAAATCTTTAAAAAAAAATAAAAATAAAAAATAAAACATACAGAAAAACATGCCAGTTCTGTAATACACCTCCCATCAATATAAGGGAGAAAAAAAACTTTTAAAAAACAATTCTTAAAAAAAAAAAACAATTCTTGAAACAATGAGTAAGACTCTATAGTCTTTACAAGTAATAGAATAGTGCATGCTCAGGTTATTATGGATTATTAAAAGTTTATGAGCCCAGTTTCCAGACTCCTCCTTACTTCCATTCTCCCTTAGCACAACCCTACACTTAATCTCCAAAAATGTCTCTTCCATCCTTTCAGAGTTCTGACCTGTCAACCAGCTCCCTCTAACAGAACATTGATACAAATTTCTTTGAATGAAAACTCTTGAAAAGTCTCCAAACCTCGAAAATCCAAAGCAATTGCTCTCTAAGAGTGGAATTTTCTACTGTATGGAGGAGAATCTTTTTGGGTGGGCTTTAGAGTAGACAGGCTTTAACAGGATGCCTGGAGGCCAGCAAAGGGGGAGTTATGGCCAATTATTGGGAAAGTTAGAGAACCTGTCCTGACAGCACTCCAAAACAAGCCACATGAAGCTGATCAAACCAGACAGGCCCAAGGCAAAGAAGGCTGGAAACCGTGATGACATAAGCAAGAAAATGTACAAAACTTTGCTCCCAAGAAATCCCCTCCCCAAGTAATGAATATTCCACCCCCTAGTTAACAACTGTCAATAAAAGATAGAGACCCCAAACCAGGGCATTCAGCTCTCTCTCAAGCTCACCTGCTCTCACATCTTGAGAGCGTATTCTTACTTTAATAAACTCTCCTACTTGCACCACTCAATCTTTGTGTCTGGTCTGCCCATGAATTCCTTCTAGTGAGGAGACCAAAAGCCTTCAGTGACATCCTGGGGATGGGCTGGGCAGAGGCCTCCGGGCCCAGGGGGGTCTCCCCAGTCCAGCTGGCAACATAGGGAGTCCTCAACCCCTTAAACTTCTCCAGGTGACTCATACTCTAATCACTAGAACAAGAAATAGTAGTGGTTTAAACTCTCATTAAGTCTGAATTAAACAAATGTTAAATGTTTTGTTGAATAGTTTGTGTTTCTGACATTCCCCAGCTACATTACCATGAAGCTCCAATCCTTACAATTCCATCGCTGATCTGAAAACAGGATACTCGTTTATATAGTATTGTAGTCTTCTTTTATCTCAATTCTTAGGAAATGTTAAGTATAATTCCCCCAAGAATGTAAGGACCCAAACGAAACAGATGGATATTAGGAAGAAGAAAACAGCTGGAACTCCACACCCATAAGTTCCAAACTGTTTCTTTTCAGAAAAGTTACATTTAAATTTGTCCCTGGTTTGTGTTTTGTTTTGTTTTGTTTTGTTTTTAAGTACCATGGGTCATTCTTCAAAAATGGATTTTAAATTATACAATGTGAATTTCAGCTACAATAACTTCATGGGAGATTGCTTAAATTCTTTGCTATTTGTTTTCTTTTTACTTACAGATCTCACCATGAAATTGAAGCTATTCTTAGAAATATTGCCCCTAGAAAACATTTAGTACAAGTGGATAATTATCTGCAAAATAATCCGCAAAATATAACTCATCTTTTTCTTTCCAAATGTGCTACTTTCCCTCAATTTCCTTATTTCTATTCTCCCAGTCCCCCTCTCATGTTACTGATAAGCAAGTTCCTTACTGCTACCAGATGACTCTTCCTAAATATCACTTTCATCCTCTTCCTTTTCTACATAAAACTTTCAGTGGCTCCCAGTTGCAACAGAAATGAAATGAAAACACCTTAACCTGGCATTTCAGGGTATTATCTGGCTGTAATAAAAATTAGCATTTTTCAAGTGCTAATCACACACCAGGCCTTGTGGGAAGTGCTTTATATCATCTCACAACTGCCAAGAGGTAGGATCTATTATTGGTCCCTTTTCTGGAAAATAAAACTAAGGTATAAAGAATTTAAGTACCTTGTCCAAGGTCACATAGGTTTCAAACGGAGACACCAGCATATAAACTCCAGCAATTTGATTCAAAAGCCTATGTACTTTCTCTTTTATGATTCCACCTGTGCTGTAGCCCGCATTTGCAAATTACAACTTGCTATTCTGGTAAGGCAATCTCGTCACTGTCCCTCAATATGCCACTTTCATCCCCAGCCCTCAGGCTGTGCTCACACCCTGTCCCCTTCTAATGTATTAAAATCCCACCCATTCTCCAAGGCCCAGTTCAACTCCAACATGCTCCAACTTCACGTTCTCTGACCACCCCATAGCATGGACCACCTCCTCTGCTGATTTTAACCCTTATTCATAGGCTTTCTGATGTTATTTATGTCTATAGCTTATCATCCCCCACCTAACCAATGTCCAGAGGGCAGGAACAACCAGTTGTACCTGCAACAATGCTATACTCATAGTGGGCATTTAATAAATGCTTGCTGAAAAGCACAAATGCAAGAGAACTATGCAAAATGAATGCCATGAACTTCACAAGTACTAGTTTTTTAACCAATGTGTGTACACATACATAATTACACAGGTATTATCTCCCTGGAATCCCTAAGCTATCTTCTACAGGGCTGTGGAAATGAATGTAGCAAAATATCACTAAAACTCAAAATAGCACATAGCTTTTTGACTTTTGATTGCAGCTTTAACATACATGCAGAAAAGTGCAAAAATTACAAATGTACAGCACAATAAATTTTCACAAATGAACACATCATGGAACCAGCAACCAGATCAAGAAAAAAAAGTTACACCCTAGAAATTCCCCTCATGCGAGAAAGGTAACTGCTATTCTAACTTCTAACACTATAGATTAATTTTGCCTGAAAAGTCATTTTAAATTATTATAACTGTATCTACCTGGGAAAGCAAATATATGACTCAAATACACCATTAAAAAAAAAAGAAAAGAAATGGTCCACTCTGCCTAAGTCTCTCAGAAAATGGCCCCTAACATATATCATACATACGTTCTTATGGAAAATTACTGGTGAAATTGTTACAAATTAGTCAATCAACTAACTTCCAATATGTAGAGTTTCTATTAAGTACAATGTTTGAGATCAATAGCAAAATAGGAAAAAAAAAAAAAGTGGATTTCACACACTATCACCAGCTATGATTACATGTACAAATAAAACTTGATAAAAGGTGAAAATGGTAATCATCTCTTGCTTTGTTGATGGTATAACCTATAACTCATAGGGGAAAAAAAATCCATCACTCAGTCCTTTTCTACTGTCACCAGCTAGATCCCAAGACCCGACCTTTACTACCCACCTGCTTGCGCGCACCAACCTCTGTCCCATATTTTTTTTTTTCCTTAAGCACTTATTTCCCGCTTATCTCTTAATTCAGGAAATGGAAACCGAAACCACCCCTTACACAATAGCAACTGCCCTGAGACCTCCAGCCAGCCCAGACTGCCCAGACTACCCAGACCAGTTTGAGCACAGATGGGCCATCGGGTGACCTCTAGAATAACCCACAACTATCTTTATCTCACTCTAATACTGAAATCTCCACCCAAGGAGGACCCAAGCCTCATTTACATAACATACAATGTATGTATAGGCATGTTTCCTTAAGGTGCATGGGGGGCCTTATGCTCGCCTGTACAATGACAAGGATCCCCTTTTTAAATATCCTAACCCTAAATAAAAGGAACCCATGCACCCTTGCTTGGGGAGTCATAGCTTTGGAAGTTACCCTCCATGATCTCCTTATTTGCTGCCAATAAAGTTTACTTTGTGAGAAAACTCACCTAGGGTAGGTTCTGTGACTTACCAAGGAGTGAACGCTCGTTAATTTGGTTACACTACTACCCTGTAGGCCTCCTTACCTGCCCAGTCCAGGAATTCAACGCACTCGGTCTGGGAATACCGAGCAGCAACATCTCGTGCTCTTTCTTCCCGGAAGTTCAGCGCTTCTATATCAACGTCCAACTCCACCAGTGCTTTCAAAGTTTCCAAACGACCCCAGGCTGCGGCACAGTGTAAGAGTGTGTAACCTAACCAAGAGAATGAAGATGGTCAGGTCAAACAGAATACATTGTTTCAGGCTGTTTTATTGAACAGAAGATCATAATGACGATCAAGTCTTGAACAATTACTGTGAGGTAGGCACTATTCTAAGTACTTTATATATAGTACACTCATTTAGTTCATAAAAACCCCATGAGGTCAGAACTATTATAATCCCCAGATAAGGAAACTGAGGTCCAGAGAAGACAGAAACTGAGGTCCAGAAACTTGCCCAAGGAACACAGCCAGTAAATGATGGATGCAAGATACCAACACAGGTAGCCTGAAGTCTGAGCTCTTCAACATCTTCTAAGGAAGACAGCAACCTCCCTAGAAGTAATCTATTTTGGAACACAATTGGACCCACGACTCTAGTCCAAGGGATTTCAGCAAACTCTAATTACACTAACATTATTGTTAATGCAATCATAGGAATTATGACAACTGTGTATGCCTTTGGTTTGGAAATTAATCATTTCAATTAAAACTGAAATCATGACCCACCAAATTAGGAAGTTGTTTTTTAGACTTGCTGAGGCAACTACTATGAGGGTGAAAAACTAGGGAGGCATCATTAAAATTTTTTTACACTAATCAAGTCAAAAGTTCCTTGTTTTAACTTACCCACAGGATGTATTTGTGACTCATTTAACTGGCCGAAGAGGCTTGTACTGCTACTACAAGAAGAATTGAGCAAAAGAATGAATAGATGTGTTGACTCTATCATGTACCGGGCACTTTATGTACTACAACTGGACTCAACCCCTTCAAGAACCTTATGAAGTCAGTATTGTTAACCCCATTAAAAGATAGAAAGGACAGTGAAGGTCAGAGAGGCCAGACCTTGCCCAAGGCCACACTGGTAGCAAATAGCCAAAGCAGATTCAAACCCAGGTCTGTTGCCAAATAAAGGATTTGTAAGGAGTAGGAAATGGCACCTAAATGCTTGTCACTAAGTAGAGTAGGGAAAAAGAGAAAAGTGATTCCTCTGCTTCCTTCCAGAAACCTCTCCCTGGCTCCCTACTTGCCACATTCCCACAATCCCAGGTCTGTTTTACATCAAGTTGTAAACTACCTTTGTCTTGAGGAAATCATAACCTGAAGGGAATCAGAAGGAACATCAAGTGATCCACTCCAGGATCAGCCAAAATTGGAATTACCTCTCCTCCTTGGCCCAACTTTTTTTTTCTTAACATCACAACAAATGAGAAATTTCAAAAATGAAAAGATAGAGACTAGCCCAAGAATCTCATTGTGCCTTTATCATCTATAAAAAAAGAGAGAAATACCCTGATACCACCCTCGTTGTTCTTGCCTTCTGCCTGAAGACAGAAGTCTTCAATCAGCCAAAAGGTCCAGGGCCCCTGATTTGCTGTGGAGGGAGACACTGTCTACAGACAAGACACTGCTCACGCGAGCAAGAGGCCATTCCAAATGAGATGTTCTGGCTCCTTATATTGCTTTTCTCAAGGCTGAAGTTACATGCCACTGGTAACATCTAATTTTTTTTTCCTATTTAATATACATAGCTTAAAAACAATAAAACAAGATTTCTAAACAGAGGCTTTTACCAAAAAAATTACATGTTTTTAAAACACCTTTACATGTTTTTTCCCCTTGTTGGGATGGTCTGTTTTCTAGAGGAAACACACAGATCCTTGTAATACATTAACCCCATTGTCTTCCCAGAAGAAGAAAAACAATTAAATAAGATGATTTCAAAAACATCCAGAAGAGAAAGGGGTTTTCCTAATGTCCTCCCATAATGTTGGCAATGAGCATTGGATCCCAGGAGAGGGATACAGAGGGCCACACGTTAGAAATTCCAGTAGGAAGAAAGGTACCCTAAATGGAACTGGGAAGGACTGGGGTTAATTCTGAGAGAAAAAATAATCTCTTTGTGGGGGACTACTGGTTACTAAATACAGAATGAGTCAACTAAGCAGGTAATTCATAGGAGGCAAAAGATCAGACAGGAAAAGGAATCTTTTCCTCTATGTAGGCAATGTTCTATGTGCTTTACAGCTATGAACTCACTACCATCCTATGAAGCAGGCACCAGCTTGTTCTCATTTATAGATAAGAAAACAAAAGCACAGAGAAGACAAGTACTTTTCTCAGGGTTGCTATACGTTAATGAAGGTATATGGTGAGGTCAAAGTCCAAGAACAGGGATGATGAGTCAAAAACAAATAATAGGCCAGGGAGCAAAATACTCACCTATCTAGAATATTTCTCACAACCCACCTACCACGCCAGTACCAGATTCTTTGAATTCCCTAAATCATGTTCCATGCCTCTGCAACTTTGCATATGCTGGGGTTTTTTCTACCTGAAATAATCACAGGAATGGAATAAAATAATTCTAGTATAAATTTAATGTTTACTTAGTATTAATACTAGTATTTTATAAAATGGAGTGCAGAATTCACTTTTTTAATTAGTGAAACTATTTAATACATTTTAATGTTAATACATTTATGAAAATGTATAAACATAAGATACCAAAAAAGCATAAGTATGAAATAGAAATGCTAAGTATATATTTTCATTCTACTAGCAATATAAATTGTCAGATAAAACTAACAAAAATTGGGATGCCTCGGTGGCTCAGTTGGTTAAGCATCTGCCTTCAGCTTGGGTCATGATCCCAGGGTCCTGGGATCCAGTCCCGCATCGGGCTCCTTGCTCAGTGGGAAGCCTGCTTCTCCCTCTGCTGGCCGCTCCCCCTGCTTGTGCTCTCTCTCTCTGACAAATAAATAAATAAAATCTTTTTTAAAAAGCTAACAAAAATTAAGGATAAAAAAACAAACACTATAAAAATAAAGAAATGTAATTAATCATGAAAATTTCAAATGAAACATTATTTGATTTTTCTAAGTGTGTCAATGGTATCACCAAGATATTTTTGTACAAATTTTTTTAGCTACTGAAGTTTTTCTCACTCAACATTAGTTAGAAGTGGTTATAAACTGGGCACCTGGGTGGCTCAGTCGGTTAAGTGACTGCCTTCAGCTCAGGTCATGATCCCAGGGTCCTGGGATCGAGTCCCACATCGGGCTCGCCCTGCTCTGCAGGGAGCCTGCTTCTCCCTCTGCCTCTGCCTGCCACTCCCCTGCTTGTGCTCTCTCTCTCTGTGTGTCAAATAAATAAATAAATAAAATCTTAAAAAAAAAAAAAAAAGAAGTGGTTATAAACTAACATCAAGTATTTTCTTTCTTTTTTTTAAGATTTTATTTATTTATTTGAGAGAGAGAGCATGAGAGCAGGGTGAGGACAGAGGAAGAAGTAGACCCCCCACTAAGCAGGGAGTCTGATGCGGGGCTGGATCCCTGGATTCTGAGATCATGACCTGAGCCGAAGGCAGACGCTTAATGGACTGAGCCACCCAGGCATTCCAACAGCAAGTATTTTCCTTCAAATTATCTCACTTCTAATTTGAAAAGAGAGAGATCTCTGAACAGTTTTTTGCTTTTTTGCAAACACTGAAATCTTTTTATTAGGAGTAAGCTATAGGGGGCGCCTGGGTGGCTTAGTTGGTTAAACGTCCAACTCTTGATTTTGGCTCAGGTCATGATCTTGGGGTTGTGAGATCGAGCCCCACGTCATGGAGCTTGTTTAAGATTCTCTGTCTCCCTCTGCCCCCCCTCGCTCTTTCTCTCTCTCTCTAAATTTAAAAAAAAAAAAAAAGAGTAAGCTGTAATTTTTTCCGCAGAGAAAACTTGGCTGGTTCATATTTGTTTTTTTTAGTCTTTTCACGTACAGAGATTCCATTTCAGTTTTCTGATCAATTTCAAAACCATGAGATTCACATTTTACTTAGTTGGGAAGTTTTTGGACTCAAATTATTCTTATAACAGAAATTTTACAAAACCACAATGTAGATCATCTAAATCTGTAAACTTCAGTTTGACTTTTTGTATACATTGAGCAATTAAATCATTACTATTGTTCTCAATTCATAAGTAACTCAGATTTCATTTTTTAGATATCAAATAAAACTATTAGACCTATAAAAAGACCAGTATTTCAGTTACCTAAAATAGTGAGCAAGTATACCAGAATATGAGCAATATTGTGACACTAAAATCGGACACTGTGATTACTATACTGTCCGCCATGCCCTATCCCTCAACTCTCCTTTGTCTGGTAAACTCTTGGTCATTCTTCAGGATTCAATAGAAATATTGCCTCCTCTATAAAACCTTCCCTGACCATGTCCAATACTTCCAGGTAAAGTTGACTTATCTCCCCTCTAAGCTATTTCATACTTTATTCCACCATACAGTGATTATTTACATAGCTGTTTTCTGCTAAACTATAAACTTGTCCAAGGCTGAATTCATTCATCTTTCTATCCCCCATTCCCAGCACAAGGTCTGGCTCTTCCACCACCCTTAATAAATGTTTGCTGGTTGCATGGGGAGACAAATTTTAAAATGGTAATTAGTTCTGGTCACACTTGTTTGAGTATGGTCAGGTTTAGTGACCAGAGCCCTGCCAGAACCAGAGGAGGTTCCATCATCAATAAACCGCCAACTGCAGAGACCTATCCTTGGCTCAAGAAGAAAACAAGGCACTTCCCAATAGACCAGAAGTCAGGAGAACAGAGAGCTGAGACTATCAGAACTGTTTCATTCTCCTCCTTCTTTTGGATTAAGTGTCCAATTCTCCAGTATTTAATAAGAAAGGAAATCGTGAAAGCAAACATGATTCATCAATCACCTTGAAAACCATTTTCTTTCTTTTCCACTTCTGAGTATCATCCACAAATAAATGGCATACATCTTCTTACTTTATAGAGACATCTATACTGCAGTCCTTCAACTAAAAGTCTTTTAATTCGAGGCCAATGACTTGTTATGCTCCAATACATCATCAGTGTTCACATATACACACACAATGAATATTATTCACCCTTTTAAAAAAAAGAAGGAAGGGCGCCTGGGTGGCTCAGATGGTTAAGCGTCTGCCTTGGGCTCAGGTC